GAGGCTCCTGGACTCGACTCGCATTCATGCTTCTCGAATTGAGCTCCAAAATAGACTTCACAAACACGTTTCCAGACTTAGCCATTTCCAGGCAGTTTCTCAGTTTTGGTATAGCCTTTTGATGAGGTTCAAAAATGGTCTTCTGGACTTCCTATCGAGCTCTCAATCACTTCAATATGTAGAGGGACACTCCAGCTTCAAAACAAGTCATTAGTCTTCAATTTTCATCTAGCCAATTGTATGATATGAATATCCAAAGTAGGCACCATGAACTGTTTTTACACTGAAACAACAGATTAGGTCGACCTGATCCTATATGAGGTCGACCGAATCCTAAATGAGGTCAACCAGATCCTATATGAGGTCGACCGAATTCTAAATGAGGTCGACCTAATCCTAACTGAGGTCGACCGGAAAGTGCAAGTCACCGTGACATGCATGTCACCGTAGGCACACCCTAAATATTTAACATTTAAAATTTGGAAAGGAAGCGGAAACATAACATATTAAATAACACTAAAAAAACATAAACGATGTTGAAATACTGATCATAATAAACATCTCTCATAAAATTTTGTCAAGTCTCTCCTCGTGCTGGAGTACTTTGGAGTCATTGATCATTGTCATCAAGTGCTGAATTTTGAGCGTACTTCTACAACTTCTATGATCCCTTAGTGCGGGCGATGAGGTCAATCATAATCCTAATTTCGGTATTATATATAAATACACAACCATGCACATGCAATGCTTATGGTATGCTATTGGGTACATTAATAAGATTAATATATTATCCTGAACACGATTGTAGTCCTTAGATTAGTACTTCTTGTATTACATAACTTCCAGTAAATGTAGCAAGGGCCAAAACATCTTGCTAAAATTGGTGGAATTCAATAACGAGACGTTAATGACGTAGGTTAGAATCATTGGATACCTAGCTTTGCCCATATGACATTGTTTTGTTTTTCTGGGTGCCGGTAAGATAAAATGCGAACCTAGTTTTAACAAAATCCACGCCCGATCCTATCGCTTTGACCAGATCGATTGTTTTGTTTTTGGGTGCGAGTTGGATGAAAAGTCTGCCGATTTTGAACAAAATGCACAATTGATCCAACCAGTCAATTACATAAGTGGGTATAACTCACTCTCTAACCAAAACTCATCAACTCCAGATTCAACCCGCTTTGACCTGATCAATGAGTTTGGGTACCCTTAAGTTCGTGGTTCAATTGTCAGAAAGATTAATAACAGCATCCATGTAATTAGATGTGCAGCAACGTACAATTAGAAGTGACCAAACTTTTAATGAACTACAATTACATACATAAATCATCTATATATTCAAATGCATGTTATTTTACATTATAGATCATATACTTAATTATTTATCAATTTAATTATCTTAATCTTTACATATTATAGGTTAAGAGTTTAGCATTTAGTAACTATAACATTGTCTATAGCAAACCTCGTTATATCCTTATAGGGCATGGCTAATTGGCTATAATAGATTTGAGGACCTATAATGAGTCATCGTCATATCATAATGAATCGCTTATGTTATAGTACACATAACCTATCATTTGTCATATTAACTAATTTAACACTTTCTGATAAACAACAAACTTATCTAGCTATATGAACTAATTTGACTAATTTTGAGGATATGGAGTTTATGGTTCAGGTATGCGTACACTAACTTTATCGTATGCCCATCGAGATTCTTAGTGTATGAGATTCATATAATTAAGACCTACATTAAAAATTTTAAGGGTCAAGGTATAATATCATGTCATAAACTTTGATTAGTATAATGTCTAAAAATGTTATTTTTTTAACTCATTATATGTCATACTTTTGATTTTACTCAAGGTATGATATATATATATATATATATGGTTGCGTATTCGGTGCACCCACTTTTTCGGGTGCACTCAATCCACCCGCCTCATAATCGTCATTTTGACCATGCGATTCATGTCAAAACGGTATCAATTGTTGCTTATGATATTATGAACAAGAAGCACATGAATATGAAAAAAATTCATTCAAATTTTACTTTAATTCGAAGGATTTAGGATTTAGGAATTTAGGGTTAGGGTTTAGGTTTACAATTTGGGATTTCGGGTTGGGATTCAAAATTGAAGGTTAAGGGGTTAGGGTAATGGATTGATTTGTTATGATTCTATGTCTATCATCATATTATATTGAGAGTACTAATTAAAGTTCAAAATTTGATGTCTTATGGACGCTTTTAGAGTTAGGTCCACTGAGTGCACCCAAAAAAGTGAGTGCACCGAAGTACTCACCTATATATATATATATGGTGATGACTGGTGTACGTCAGGCGTATACATATATATAAATATAGTGCCTTCTACGGTACCCTAGGTGAAATCCAGGGTACCACATACCTTGAGTATGAAAACGCTATCTAGACCTCGAATTGGCAGGATTTTTGGACATGATACTATACCCTAACCTTTAATTAGTGAACCCTAGGGCCTAATTATCTAAATCATAAGCTATAAACGCTAAGATGGTGCATTGATTTTTTTTGCCTATATTTGGACGAATCATAACCGTCGATTATCGTTTGTAATTAAATTGATCTTGGGGTATAAGATTTAGAGAATTAAGACCTAGATGTTGATCTTTAAGGGTTAGAGTAAAGTATCATGTCCGAAAGATTAGTCAATTCAAGTTCTGAATAGCGTTTTCTTACTCAAGGTATGCGGTACCCCGGATTTCATGTTGGGTACCGTAGAACTCCCTAAATATATATATATATATATATATATATATATGAGATTTTCTATAAGTTTAATAACAAATTTAATCATAAGCCACAATTAGCCTCTGAATCTATTGTGCGAAAGAAAACATGGGGACTTTTTTTTTATGGGAGAAAACATGGGTACTTGAAATGGAGTATTAAATTCAATGCTTAAATTCTTTATGCCAACTGCCAAGTGAAGGTAGAGATGTATTGGTTTGGATCGTTGATTTAGAGATTTGATCAATGGGTGGGAAGGAATGACGATCCGCGTCACTCTATCGACAACGACATGTGCTTTGGTTAATTGTAACTTTGGAAGGTAGCTTGGTAACGATGAGAGAGTTCAGACCATTGGATTTATATAAATCGAAGGATTTGCGGTGTGGATTCGTGTGCTTTATTAATATTAACTTTTCTGTGTCACTGAGATTTAAAGGACTGTGAGTTACGTGGCTAGTATTTTTTTGTACTGGGGGTAATTGCATCGATTGGGTTCGGGAGAATGATCGATTTTACCCACAAATAAATTGCCAATAAAATGTTATAAATTAGTTTAATAGATAAAGTGTAAGTTGTAATGAGTAAGTAAGTTGATGTACGGATCCGAACAACTTGCAATTTGATATGTTTGTAATATGCTCGACTAGTAATTCGATCAACTTGTAACTTGATTGGCTTGTGACCCGGTTAATTTGTAATTGATCTGCTCGTAATCCGCTTGACATGTACCCTTATCAACTTGCAATTTGATTAGCCCATGATTCAGTTAACCATAACTCGATTCACTAGCTACTCGATGGACTCGTACCAAATAAACCATAACCCAATTGACTAGAACTCGATTGACCCACAATCCAATAAACTTGAAATCTAACTAATTCGTAACCCAATCGAACTCAACCCAGACCCACCCAATTGAACTCAATTCAGATTCTTTTATGGTACCAGAAAAGAAAATATCTTACTTTGTTGATATTTTTTTATTTATATCTCTCAATATAAACAAGAAAAAAAATGTAACTTTGGAAGAAAACCTATAGACGCTTTATGTCCAATCATTCCGAATAATGCTTTCATCCTCTGTAAACCACGACTACTGGCACATAATTAGCCGATGCTTATTCCCTAGATACCATCATTGCTTCTTCTCCAAAGAAAGAAGTTCACAATCGTAGGCATTCTACCTTCACACAGTCACATCACAAAAATATTAATAATAGAAAACTGAAAGTTTAATAATTATCATTCAAATTCCAACGGGTTATCGAGGTCAGACATAATTAAAAGAGTGTCTAAAAGAATATTCACAATGATTTGTAATAAGTAGTAAAATAAATTGTAGCAAGATAAATTTTGTAGGAGTTGACTTATTTGCACCATTGCATGGATGCAACTTTCACTTCCGGGAAGGATTTTCATCGATAAAACTATAAAAATATTGAAAACCTTTGATGATTTATGTTCATTTGTGATATTTCAATGACTTAATCGTTTGAATTTTATATGGTACTAATAATATGTATATTACTTCGTATAATTGTTGTTGTTAATGTTTATACCGTTAATGAAATGCATCCGATCAACGGACGGGCCCAAATCTAGTATGCATAGGAGTTGTTCCCGAAGTTTGATGATTTTAGCGCTCCGAAATGATTGAATCACGATTCAACTATGATTTTACTATAAATGGTCTACCGCTAACTTTTAGGATATATCTTTCGGGAGGATTTTAGGATAATTGCACGAAACTCAGGAAAAAACACGTTGTTGTAAAAAAACACGTTTAAAATGTGAAAAGTCAAAACCGTATATGAACTATCAACTAAGTTCTTTGGGCTGGTAATGGATAAAGTGGAGGAACTTGTTCTGGAGGAGTGGGTGGTACTGATTTTGGTTTCTATGGAAGGAGCGCAATGCGCATATGTTCAACGTGATTAAGCTTGAGGAAAGCGAAATTGCGCAGAGGGCTCGTTTTTTCCTGGAAGATTATAAGCAGCATCAAGAGATCGAGGAGATCCCACCGCCGCAGCCAGGCCAAGCAAAGTGGAAGAGGCCCCCTTTGGGACACTTCTCTGTTTCCACTGACGCTGCAATTTTCCTGGTTGGTGGAGCGGGTCTTGGAGTGGTGGTACGAGATAGTGACGGCCAGTACATCCTAGCTTCTGCAAAGCGGATTCGCGGCCAATGGGAACCTGAGGAAGCAGAGACACTTGCAGCAGAGATGGGGCTGCAGCTAGCGTCCAATATGCAAATGTCAAACTTGATTTTAGAGAGTGACTGCCTCTCTTTGATACAGAAACTGAATAGCCAGATTCGGATTGAGACGGAAGTTGGAGTTGTGATCAGGAATATTAAGCGAATGATGATGTATCTCGGAGCTGACAGCTATAAGTATATCAAGCGAGAAGCAAATGGGGCAGCTCATATGATGGCGCACTCTATGACGATATGGGATGAACGATTGGTATGGTTAGATAGACGTCCAGTTTTTATTGTTGACCAGCTGAAACTGGATGATGTAAACAGTAACCTTGAGTAATAAAGCTCATAAGTTTCCGTCGAAAAAAGTTCTTTGGGCTAATTTGATCCTCACAGGAGAGTGACGAAAATGGGTCAGTATAGCCCATTTAATGGATATCTCCAATCCATCCAGAGCGGCCCGTCGGGAATGTTCGGCGGCCAGCACGGTAACTAAAGAGAAAAAGAAAGAAGGGCAGACGCAGGAGTAGGAAAGCGAACGGGAATCGAAACGAGAGCTCCAATCTGCATAACAGAAATATTCACAGCACCAATCATGCCTACCGGCTTTGTGTTCTACTCTGGTATGTGCTCTGATTTCTATGGTTTTCGTACGAATCAAGTTAGCCCTTTGGTCGAAATTGATTTGTGTTTCTTTCCAGCGTTGTTCTTTATTTTCGCATTATAGGGTTTAGATTTCATTCTGATTGTGCAATCCATACCCCCCGCCCCTTCTCAGGATCGTTTTCCATTTCATTTGATTCTGAACGAGGATTTTCAAGCAACCCGACCCCTCCTAAACCAGCAAGTCGGAACTGTAATCAAAGTCGATTCCTTTATCTTTTCTGGCTAGCTGGAATTCTCTCTCTCTGCCTTCCTTCTAAACACAACACTAATCCTACATGACTTTGTGGTTGTTTGGCTTGCGGTGGTAAGTATGGTGGCTTCTGAAGAAACTGTCATGAATTATCTTACTAACTATCGAGTTAGTAATATCAAAAGTGTTAAACTTGTTGAGCCCAAATTCCCCAAGAACTCGTATGCAAGGCGATGCAATAATATTCTACAGCTTTCTGCAGAGGTATGTTTGATTGCTTGTGTTATCTTGTTTTGAACCATTTGCTCCATTCATCTCTCTATGATATATACACGACAATGAGCCAATATGTGCCCTGCTAACTGCATTTCATCAACCTGATTGTATATGCAGCGTATGGTTGAGGAGGAGGCACGTAATGCCCAAAGCTACCGCGAGGCTCTGCTGAAGTATTGTGGAGTTGATATTGAGTACTAGTTTAGTTTAATTATGAATCATAATCATGTATATTTATGCTTTGCCCATCAAACGTGTTATATCCCAATAGAGCACCCGAGGAATGTAATCTTTCTTGCTACTATTTGGATAGTGATGCAGTTTATTGCTATAACATCGTCTACTACCTGCCTGGGCCTTATGTCAAAGATGATGGTAAGTATATCTTTCCACAACAATTGTAAAATGTGCCATCAATAGCAAAACATGAGGAGAAACATGCTCTTGCCACCTCTCTCTCAATTGTTTCTTGACGGCCACTGCTACCCTTTGATATTTGCTTTAGATACAGTCATACAGAAACGATAAACCCATTAAAAGCTCCAGGAAAATGAGTTGCGATTGAAACGTTATGATCAAATCGACTATGCACTTGTACGACCACCTGGTCCCAACTGAGATTGAGAAGATCTCCAATCCAAACAGGCATTTAAATTTGTGAAACGGTTGGTGTCCATAAACTAGTTGCTCCTCTGTTTCATCTCTTTCCTTACTATGCCTACAGATATTCGGATCTGATTATCCTTTCTCATCATTCACAAGCACCAGCACTTGCCACTCCGCACATTGAAACTGTTCGTGAGTTAGCTCCTCCATGAATTTAAAGTGATTTGTTCTTGTGTCGGGTTTCAGCAGTCATCTTGAACTAGCAAAGAAACTGAAAGTTGACCACAGACTGACAATATTGACATGAAATCGAAAGTACTTGAATGTCGCATTATGCTTATCAATGTTACAAGGACTTTTTTATTCTTTTCAGATTTAGCGAGAGAAAGATGGCCTGTATTAGCAGTCTGTATTACCTACTATAAGAAATCAGGCTACTCTTTTGAAGTTCAGTCTAGATTTCAAAAATATAATGCCCTGCCACAAGGGTTTTTTTTATATATATAAGGGTGAGGAGATATTATTAGGGTAGAAGGAAAGAGAGAATAAGGATTACAAGAATTGATATGAGATGAAACAGAGGGATAAAAAAATGTTAAGTACAGTCACTACCTAAGAACAAAGGAAGAAAATGAACAAAATAAGCCACCTCATGGGAAAGACCTGATGCACAAAACAAAGACAGCAACCTGTGCAAGGAAAAGTAGCAGGACAACACAATTCAACAAGCAGATGGCAGCCACACGGACACATTTCAGCAGCTTAAAATCTGCAGCCGCATCCCGACACATTTCAATGGCTTTGAGAGTAAGGGCAAACCAGCTGCATTATGGAGATCCACTCTATTTCACAATGTCTGCTAATGAAGCCAGCCGCAGAGACACAATTCAGAAGCAACCTACAAGTTTTTTGGAAGATCATCTGCCAATGGTTTGTCTCATAGCGAAAGCATCTTGCATTCCGCTCTTTCCATATTTCCCACGTGAAAGCATGAAGGATACACTTCAAAAAATAACCTTTCCGTGAATCTTGATCTTGGTGAGGCCAGTTTTTAATAATAACCTTTCCGTGAAGCTGACTGCTGTAACTGCTTGCCACAAGGTTGAGTGTCATGAACATAACTGAGCACTAGATAAGAAACGAAGCTCATGCTAAGAGCACTAACTTGTTAGTCAAGTATCAACAATGCAACTCACAGGAACTGAGCGATGTATCAGTGTCCGTGTATTTACGAGAATTTCTAGACCAAAAGAGCTTAGAGATGACACTTAAGCAAAAGAAAGGTTCAACAAATGAAAAGCCAAGCAAGAGCCTGGCAACAGAAGGATGCCAAAAGTTTCATACATCCATTAGTCTTCCTTTTACCTTACTTCTCTATGTTCTATTTTTTATCATGTGAAGAACATTGTCCGAGATCACAAGACCCTTCCTTTCAATATGGAAATATAGCTCTTACTTATTGGTGGAATAGGCTTCTTCGTTCTCTAATCTGTGAACCTCCTTAACAATGTGTAACCGTAATGACAGTTGGGGTTAAGTTCCTAACCTTCTTTTCTGCAACTGCTAACTAGCATGAAAATGTTCCTCAGTTGGCTTCCTCATTATGATGTAATAACCAAAGCAAGTAACTGTCAGGAATTTAGTAGTGACATATATAATCTCATCTGCACCTGAACTTGTGGTTTTGCCTTTTATTAAATTTCAAGCAACTTAATTAAAAGAAATGGTAATGATAATAATTATGATCAATAAGTAAATAAAAATCATAATAAGTAAACCAATTATGAATGAAATTGTTTGATTCAACCCCTTACTGGGTTCCCCTTTACACTCTTGATTAATCAGATTGCATAGGATCAGAGCATATCAAATCTGGATTAAACAAGCACCCTAACTCCACTAAATAAGTTCACTATATGAGACTATCATCAATAAGACTACCCACAATGGTGGAAGGGGAAAAAGGAAAAAAATGATGGGAAAAGTGGGAAAAAAGGATGGGGGAAGGATAATGGCCACAATAGGTGGTAGGAAAAAAAGGGTATTGGGAAGGGGTTTTTTTTTTCAAAATCAATCTAGAGTTGATATGAAAACTTTATTTTGATAATTTATTCATTATTTTTATATAGGTAGTATTAATTAATTAAGACGAACATTTCGATATATTTTTTTTAATTTGGACATAAAAAAAAATTATCACTAATTATATGTGACGTCATCAATGGAAGAAAGTGAAGAATGAATTCTATTTATAGGGCTGAAAAAAATATGGTCATTGAAAATATGACCGTTTGAAAAATAGCCATCGGAAATTTGGCGGTTGTAGAATATGGCCGTTGCCCAATAACTCATAAAAATCCAATAAGAAAACCATAAAACAATTTTTTAAAAGAAAAACAAAAAAAAAACCCACTCACATGGTCCCCCCCCCCCTTCCCTTCCTCCTCCAACCCACTTTTAACCTCTAGCACAAGAGAAACCCTCCCCTTCTTTCCCTTTTATCTTTTTTTTTCATAATACTCACCCTTATTGTTAGCCATCTTCTCCTTTTTCCCCCTTTTATCCATTTTTCCCTTCTTGCTGTGGACAGTCTAAGCACATAAGAATGTAAAACAAATGTCCAAGAATGAATTCATGTATCTGAATGAGATGAATATAACAACAACGACGACAACAACTAAGAGTTCTTTCCCAACAACATAATATACTTGTGCTCGGTATAGACAGGCCACTGCCTCGGGTTAAGCCTCCACAATCCTTATTTGAACCCTACTACTGCATCCAATAGTATCTACAGATGAAAGGAAATGAATTGTTCCCCTTTTTTTTGTCATCAAGCTACTCAATCATCTAGATTAAGAGACAAGATGTATAGAGAAGATATAAAATTATTCTTTAATTTAGATTAAGAAAGCTAGAAATATATATATAATATAGCTAACATCATCACCCGCCCCCATAGAATTCTCATGAAACTAATAACTTAATCCTAACAAAACCTACATAAGCAGATCTGTTAATAACCTCAGCATTCTCATGTCAGTAACTAACCTCATACCACTAAATTTATTCACACTCAGACTAATCAACTACTCCCAAAGTCCCACCCACCCACTAGACCCCTCTATTGCCCCACAAATGGCTCAAAATCTTGGCCACTCCCCAACCAATAAAACCAAACGGACCATAGTTGTCACCCTTTTTTTTGTCACCTCCCTTCCCAGGTTCATCTTCATCAGATTCAGCATCCGAGCTCCCTGTGCTCCCGTTGCCCCTTTTGTTCACTTTGCCGCCAAGCCCATCAACCTTGACGTGGAGCCCTTCCATGCTATTGTAAATATCCCTCATCTGTTTTTTCAACCCCACAAAGTGGTCCTTTTCTTGGGCTCCCACAACCCCTGCAGCCTCCAGAAAACCATTGAGGGTTTCCTCCATCCTGTGCTGAGAAGCAAATGTGGCGACGGAGGAAACCTTCAATAGGTTCTTCACGGTAGAAATAGTAGTATTGCCAGACGAGAGCAACTGAGAAAACATCGCACGAACCGTCATTGCATCATCTGTTGATTCACCTTTGAGGGGAGGTTTCCCGGTGATTTAGTGAACTTCTCCCGTCGCATCCTCCACGTCAGATATACTAAAAACAATTTGGACCGTGCCTTAGGGAGCTGAGCACCTCAACCGTTTCCCGCTCCTCTACAGAACTCGGCACGCCATATTGGCCGGGAAAAGGAATGGAGAAGAAGAGAGATCGCCGGAGAAGAAGAGACAGAGAAATACAGAGAACAGAGTGGTTGTGCTGGATGTTGTTTCCCGTCTGAGAAGAAAAAACAGAGAAAAGCAGCGGTTCTTATAGCCAGGCTGGGCCTAGCAAGGGATAATATATGTTGGGCCTGGAAAAACATATTAACAAAGATTTCAGACCGTTGGATTTATATAAATCGACGGGTTTTCGGCGTCACTGTCAGGAGGGGTGGAGAACCAAAATCATGATTTTATTTGATATACTAAGAAAAAGGCAGTACAAAGCGGGGCCCACCGCCAACTTTTCTGTATCTCTATTGCCTTCCTCCAGAAGTTTGTAGCTCTGTGACTTTATTGTTATTGGTTATTATTAAAAATTTTCAATAAAAAAATATATAATTATTTACTGTTTACTATTTACCATTTGTACCTAGCACCTACCTAGTTTGGGTCGGTGTCACAACTCAAGAGCTCTATTTTGAGGTCTAATCTTACTATATATTATGGTTGTTAAAAAACAATTTCTTGCCACATAAGCACTTGGAGAATTCACAATTTGTCAAGGTGGACAATTTTTGTACAAGCAAAAAAATTAGTTAATAAGCTATTTATGGAGTTATCTCTCTCTTCATTTAATTATGTTGTCTTTTATTCAATAATTCTTTTTAATTTTTTATGGAGATGGGCGAATATGCTTTTGAAATCCCCATCCCCAAACCCGCCCCACCGAGGATATTATGTTATATGCAGAAAATATAACATCCACTTATGTAATTGATGGCAACCAAACTGTAATTTCATCCACTTATGTATCAGTTCCATAATTTTGGGCAGGTAATACACATATTTTTTACATATTTTTTATGGTGAGTAGCTGATGGGGCGGGTATTACCCATGGCAATGGGTATCCGAAAACCGCGGGTATGTAGATGAGTTTGTAAAACCTTCCACCGTATGGGTATGAGGCGGGTATGATTTTAGGTATTTGAAAATGGGGATGGTGATGGTTTAGGCAAACCCGCCCCATTGCCATCCCTACTCTTATTTCTAATTAATATATCTATAAAATAAAATAAGTATTATATAGTAAAATGTCTGGATAGAAAATTGATGATGTACACGTAT